TAAAAACAAATACGGTTACGATAACGTTTTTATAATAATCGACCGCTTTTTTAAATAAGCAATTTCGATCTTTTATTATAAGTCTATCGACGCTAAAGGCTTCGCTAAGCTTTATATCTATTATATTTATAAGTATTTTAAAGCTCTTTTAATATTGACTTTTAATAAAAGACTTTAATATTAGTCCGAGTTTTAAAAAGAATTTAATAAGATCTTCGGTATTAAATTAACTTTTAGCACCGTCGTACACTTTAAAATTAACGGTTAAACCGAAATCTATAATTAGTACTTGCAAAAGCGCTTCCGTCTTTTCGTAAGCTATTATTAAAACGATTAAAACGAGTTTTTTCTTATTATAAACTTCGCTTAATTAACGCTCTTTTACGACTTTTTCGGCGGCTTTTCTTCTTTTAAAGTAATCTATAACTACGCTTTACGAACCACTTAGAATTAAAGCTTAAAACGACTTAACGACTAAACTCTTTTTCGCAAGCTTAATTAAAACGAAGCTCGCGCTTATGCTAACCGCTATTTTAAAGCTTAGAACTTCGTTAAAAAGCACTTTTAGCGCGCTTAAGATTGCATAGCAAAATAAGCTAATAAATCAAAGCGCTCGGTTGACTTCGACGTTAATAATAAAGTTTAATTAAATATACGCTCGTTCTTTATTTCTCGACCGTTTAAAAAGCTCGATAACTTTACAAACGGACCGTTCGAAGTTATCGATAACGTTTTTAGCAGCTTTAAATTCAAGCTCTTCGAGTTAATAAAAGTTTATTTAGTTTTTTACTTCGGACGATTACGAAAAGCTTTTAATAACTTTACTTTCGAGCAAATTATTTTTAAACTTAACTCGATTAATATTATTAGCGAATTTAAGTACGAAGTAAAAAACATTTTAGCCGTACGCTAAATTAAAAAGCATTTTAAATACCGCGCTTCTTAGCTCGGCCGCGATATTAACTTTATTTAATATTTCGCTTTCGACTTTATGTACGCTTTTTTCAAGGTAAGTAACTTCTATTTAAAGTATAAAGAGCTCTTCGGCTCTTTCGCGAAGCTCTTCGAATAGATTAAGGCTTATTCGGACGGTATTAATAATTACGATTACTTAAGCAATAATAAAGTAATAAATAGACGCTCGAGGACGAGCTTTTTTCGAACGAAAAAGTAATATAACGATACGCTAAATCTTTTAAACGCATTTTATATGCGCTAAGCTACTTCTTTCTTTTTTTCTTTCGTATTCTTCGTATTCTTTTATTTTCCGCTTTTAACTTATAAATTATAGTTTACAAGTCTTTAGCGCTTCTACTTTCGTATATATAAACCTTAATTACTTTCGACCTTTACACTCGATAGTTATTGATTCTAAGTCATTACTTTAAGATTTTCTTAAGCTTTTATGTGAACCTTCGCGCTCTCGTGAGTTCCTTTAAGTAATCGCTTAAGGTCGTCATACTTTTCGCATTTTACTTCGAAAAGCAAACGGAACTCGACGGACGGTAAAACGAAAAAAAAAAGCTATTGCTGCATTTAAAGCATAATAGCAATAGCTTTTATTGAAAGATATTACGATCTTTTCGAATGAATTAAAACAATATAACTAAAGCAACCGATTAATAAGCTACGGATACGTAGTTTATTAAAAACGATAAAAAATAATTTATAAGTATAGCTTTATTAATAATTGCTTTTACGTTTTTAACGCAAAAGTAATAAAAATATAAAAAAGCTTCGAACGAATAATACACGCTTATTCGATAGCGAAACGGATTTAGCTTTATATCGATAATATATTAATTATTTAATATTTTCGCAAAAACGCTTTTTTATTATTATAATAAGCGTTTTTAAACATTTAAAGAATAATAGAAACTCGAAACGTACGAATATAATAATCTTCGAAGTATATAAGCATTAAAAAAAACGAACGAATGAATAAGCTTGCAGACTTAAAAGTAAAAAAACCGGATTAAAATATTAATTTAATATCGCAACTTACGGTTAACGGTATCCGTATACTTTTTCGCGATATTCAAGATAAAGTACGAAAAGCGTAATAAAACGCAAGCTTTTTTAAGCTCTTTCGCTTATATCGAAAATAAAGCTTTTTATACTTAATCAAGCTTTTTTCGAAGCTAAAACTCCTACGATATATTTTATATAAATTACGTACGATTTAAATTACGTATAAAGACTTTATTTAAAATTATATTAAGTTTTAATACTATAACGTTAACTTAAAGTATACTTGCAATAAACGCAAGTCTCTTTTACACTTAGTTTTTTATCGATTCACGCAACGACGCTTTTTCTCTTAGCTATATAAGACTCGATTATAAACTTTTTTAAGCACGATTTCAAAAGCTTATAACTTCTTTAAAGATCTTCTTAATAATCCGGCCGATTTTTAAGCTTTTTTAATTATTATAAAATTCTATTTTAAGCATTGCATTCGATAACAGTATTACTTTAATCAATTAATATTGCTTCGATAAAGAAAACAAAGTACGCCTTACTTTACTTAAGCTATAAAAGCTCGTTAGATCAATCGCGTAACGAGACTAAGACTTTAAGATAGCGTAATGCGCTTTCGAAAGAATACTTTTTATTAATAATATATTATATTAAGCTTTCTTTTAAAGTTGAAGCTTTCGTATTAAACCTTTTCTTTTGTACTCGACTGACTTTGATCCGGCTCCGACCTTCGTCGTTATGCGACTTGAACAGCTCGCTTTTAACTAGCTATAATAATCTAATAGTCAGTGCACTGACTTTGTGACCTGCGGGCTCTCGGTCACAGTCAAGGCAAGCAAGTGTCCCAGGTCAAGCAAGTATCCTATTTCAATTATTTCAACTTGTTTTAGAAATAACTTAATAACGAATAAAGCTATAATATTAAAAATTTGATACTCTTAAAGAGCTCGATTCCGCTGATTAATGCATTCAAATTTTATCAATATAGCTCTTTTTATTATCAAGCAATTCAAGTTGCAAATCGTAAAAAAAAAAATTTGGATTCTTTAACAAAAAGAATCGAAAATCGATTTTTATTAAGAATAAGTCATAACAAAAAAAGCTGTAGCAATAAAAATTAAATATGCGAATCGATATAAGTGAATTATACTTTATTTATAAAATACATTACATATTTTTATTATTAAAATAAGTAAAATAATATTTATTACGCAAAATTACAATTGTAACAGCGAAAAAAGCTCGGACAATTTAGCGAAAATTCAAGAACATCAACTTTTCGATTATATTTATAACTTAAATAAAATAATAATTATAAGAGTTATAATAGAAATATTAAATGGTACGAGTCCGCTTGATTCAAAGTTTCTTAAATATCAAATTTTTATATTAAATTTCAATTTTCAAGCCGATTAATATCAAAAAATATAAAATTTTCAATACAAAATATTTGATTTTCAATCGATAATCAAACATTATTTATTTTATTAATTATTAAATTGTTAATAAAAAGATTTTATACTTGGTTAGACTTTTAAAGATCTCGATTACGCAGATCTATGCATCTAGTTTTGAATATTATAGCAATATTCGTTGCTAAGTTATTTCAATATAAGTTGAAATAATTGAAATGGGACACTTGCTTGACCTGGGACACTTGCTTGCCTTGACTGTGACCGAGAGCCCGCAGGTCACAAAGTCAGTGCACTGACTATTATACTTGCTCAACTTTCTTTTTATAGTTCTCTTTTAATAAAAGATTTCGTTTTATATAATCCATCTTATCTATAAGAAAAAGACGCATGCGACAGTAGCCTTCGCTATAGCACTTTGAATTACTTTCTAAAGCCTTTTTGTATATAACTCCTTAGCTTAACACGTCGCCGTACCTTATAAGAGGTCCTAGGGCGGCAGGCTTCGCTTGCTACCCGCCCGACGTAAATAAATATAACAACAACAATAACCTATCTACCCCTTTATCTACTTATCCATCTACTTACTCACCTATCCACCCATTCCCCTATCCCCCTACCTATCTACACAGCCCTTTATCCATCCACCCCCCCATCACAAATTCCAAAGCAGCAAAACCACCAACCAACCAACCAACCAACCATCTCCCCTCGACGCAACGACCAAAAAAAAAAAAAATCAAAAAAAACATACCAACAACTCCAGCACCCAAAAAAGCAAACAAAGACCGCATCATATCCAACCTGAACAAGCTTTCAATCAACCAATCGAATCAATCATACTTAATAATACCTACTTACTTACTACCTACTTACTTACCGTCAAGTAAAAAACACAACTAACGGATTTTGCAATTTTTTATACGATATATTAAATTCAAGAAGATAGCAGATTACTTACTACGTGCTTTGAGTGGAACTCGTTGCAGATGTTAAAGTTGATATCATTGTAATTATTTCCTTAGCTTGATCAGACTCGCGCTTTCGAGCAAGCATTCGAGCGGGTACTGATGTGCGTAATTGGCAGGTTTCTCGACGAGGATTTATTTATTACGAAGCTATCTATCCGACGATCTCGCGAACCGATACTAGCGCGTCGAGAATCTTATCCCCGTCGCCTCCTTTATTTACTCCTTCGGCAAGGTCTTTGATAGAGACTTCGATCCCGCCGATGACCTGGCCATCACCGCTTTACCCTGCCAATTACAGCCCGCGACGAACAAGCGCTGTGCCGCCCCCTTCGCTACCTACACAATATCACCGACAACTCTTATAAAGCTGGTTTTCCGACGGCGCACATATCGATGACCTGCTCAATCTCCGTCTCGGTCTTCGCAGCTTCGGTCTTCGGTCTTCGCATTTCGCTCTTCGGCCAAGGACTGTGCGTTTAAGCTGAAGTGAAAGGGTGTCGACATCGGAGGGCGGCGGGCGAATGATGTCGAATCCGAAGGCGGCAAGCTGAGGATGTCGAGTTTAAAGGGCGCAAGCTCATGATATCGAGTCCGAAGGCGGCAAGCTGAGTACGTGATAGGAGTTGGACGCCTAGTAATGGACGACATGTTAGCATACACGTTGGACGAGCCGTATGCGACGTAAGAAAGGATGAGCATCACCAGCGGATATCGGACCTACCTATCGTATACGACAAAGTTGTTGGACAACACTCGTTGGATATGAGCGAATTGATGGCCGCTGCTTGGTCTTGTTCGCCCCGCGCTTCGAGAGGTCAATCCTTTGCTAGTATATGCTCTGAGTGAGCTTCGTTATAGCCGTCGACACGAGGAGGTTGTATGACCTAAGGATATTCATCATAAAGAGCCCGGCTCATCTTCGAGTCGAGGATGTCGAATCCGCAGGGCGGCGGCGAAGGATGTCGAGTTTAAAGGGCGGCGAACAAAGGATATCGAGTCCGGAGGCGGGCGGAAGATGTCGAATCCGCAAGGCGGCGGACGAAGGATGTCGAGTTTAAAGGGCGGCAGGCTAAGGATATCGAGTTCGGAGGCAGGCGGAAAATGTCGAGTCCGCAAAGCGGCGGACGAAAGATGTCGAGTTCAAAGGGCGGCAGGCTGAGGATATCGAGTTCGGAGGCAGGCGGAGGATGTCGAGTCCGGAAGCAAGCGGAGGATATCGAGTTTAGAAGGCGGCGAGCTGATGTCGGGTCCGGAAGCGGACGGAAGATATCGCGTTCAAAAGGCGGCGGACAAAAGATATCGAGTCCGAAAGCAGGCGGAAGATATCGAGTCCGCAAGGCGGCGGAGGGAAGATGTCGCGTTTGAAGGGCGGCCAATTAAGGATGTCGAGTCCGCAGGGCGACAAGCTGAGGATATCGAATCCGGAGGCAGGCGGAAGATGTCGAGTCCATAAGAGCGGCGGACGGAAGATATCGCGCCTAGAGGGCGGCGGACAAAGGATGTTTAGTCCGGAGGGCGGCGGGCGGCGAGCGGAGGATGTCGGGTCCACAAGGCGGCGAGTTAAGGATATCGGGTCCGCAGGCCGGCAAGCTAAGGATGTCGCGTTTAATAAGCGGCGGATAGAGGATATCGCGTTTAAAGGACGGCGGACAAAGGATATCGCGTTTGGAAGGCGGCGACAAAGGATGTCGGGTCCGCAAGACGGCAAGCTAAACATGTCGCGTTTGATAGGCGGCGGACGGAGGATGTCGAGTCTGAAGGGCGGCGGATAGAAGATGTCGAGTCCGGGGGCGGCGGGCGGAGGATGTCGCGTTTAAAAGGTTGCGGACAAAGAATGTCGAGTCCGCAAGGCGGCGGGTAAAAGATGTCGAGTCCTGATATCGAGTCTGGAGAGCGGCGAATTGAAGATGTCGAGTGCGAAGGCGGACGGAAGATATCGAGTCTGCAGAACGGCAAGCTGAAGATATCGAGTGCGAAGGGCGGCGGGCGAAAGATATCGCGTCCGCAAAGCAGCAATCTCGAAATATAATCACGAAAGAAAAGAAGTTCAACGTTCAAACACTCGAAAGATGCCCAGTCATCTACGACGCGTAAATACAAGTAAGCCAGCATTTTCAGATCCATTCCGTCCGGATAACAAAGGCCCATTGTAACTTATCCACTGCTATCAGCGCATCTTTCCCGCCACCGACCACACATTCTCAACTCCGAGATCCCATCATCCCTTTCCGCGATCGACCGCACCCATTCCCAATCCCGCCGATACTATTCAGACTCGAGATCGCGACGCAATCAACAATAACAATGCAGCCGACATACATCGCGTCGCTAGAGCAACCAATAATTATTCTCACCACCACCACCATCCTACTACCACTATCACTACCATCACCATCACCATCATCACCATCACCATCACCACCACCACCACCACCACTACAATCAATATTCAAAGACTCGATATCGCGACGCCATCAATTAATAACAATGCAGCCGATATACTATTCTTACAATCATCATCACTACTATCACCACCACCACCATTACCATCACCATCATCACCACCATCCCACCACCACCACTACCACTACAATCAATATTTAAAGACTCAATATCGCGACGCTATCAATCAATAACAATGCAGCCGAGATACATCGCGTCGCTAAAGCAATCAATAATTATTCTCACAACCATCACCACCATCCCACCACCACAATCAACATCGCCGGAAACAGCCAATTGCCAAATGCAGCGAAAAGATCGACTCGCCCATCGCACAAAGCGAGTCCAATTCTGCGAAGACAAGGACTTCCTTCATGAATTATTATTTCTCAATCCTCTTCGTCTTCTCACATCATCCTCGTGCTCTCCATTCATCTCCATCGTCGTACCTCCAGGCCATTATTATATACATGCAAAAAGCCCGTCGCCGCAATCATGCTCCCCTCTCAAATATACATCTTCCTTCTATTTTGCTCCATCTCTCTCTTCACGAGAACCGTATCGTCTCAACAAGCAACACATCACTATGCCAACACCCCTTTCCCTCGCCCTCCCGCCAACTACCACCTCCCGCCCGTCTCGATCCACACATTCGCCCTTGATTTCGAAACCCTCGTATCGACGTATCTCGACACCTTTAATACCACGCTCCAGCAATGTCGCGCCGCCCCGTACATCTTTCACGACGGCGGTACCATCTTCGCGCACCTCCTCCCGTTCTACAACTCTTTCTCTCCTCCATTCCTCGAGCTCTTGACATCCGCTTTCCGCAGCATCAATAGCAATATCAGCTCCATCGCGTACAACGCCAGCACTATCCAAACCGCCCACCTGTCCGCCCTCGCTTCCCTCGTCGACATGCTCACCGAAGCGGAAAACTCCCTCTCCCAACTCGCCGACGCCACGGACGCCCGCTCCCCCGCGAGCTACCAATGGTTTACCAAAGCCTTCAAGCCGGTGCCCTCCCCGACCGGCATCTTCCTCCGTCTCGCCGCCCGCCTCCCAGCGAGCATCGACCTTGCGATCCGCGGCATCTCGCCCCAGACGCTTGCGCACTTCGCGACCATCGAAGACCTGCTCTCCGAAATCGGCCTCCGCCAGCACTTCTCGCCCCGAGCGCTCCCGCGGAAGCCAGACGTCGACAAACAAGTGCAAGTCGATTTCCACCTCTTCCCGCTCTCGCGCGTCTCGCGCCTCAACGCCACCGCCGCAGAACAGCTCGCTGCGATGAACGAGGAAGAGAAACGGGCCGTCCTGCACGAGTTGAGACAGAGCGTGAAGTGGGAGCGCTTCAACGACGGCAAGCCTATCACATCGCCACCGCCAGCGCTATCGCCACCATCATTACCAGCGCTCGTGGCCGCTCTCTTCCGATTCTTCAACCCCTTCGCTTGGCTGCCGTCGACTAGCACTGCATCCGACCCTCACACAGCAGAGCCCCCGTCGAGACCCCAGCCGACCAGAACCCCGTACATGATCTCCGCCCTCAACAAGTCCTTCGCCCGCCTCACCGTCGTTCTCATGCAAGGCGTCGCGCTCCGCACTGCTAAAAGCGACTTGCAGGATCTCCGGCACGCAGCGGTCATGCTCACTCACACGTTCTCCCAGTGTCGGTCTCCTCCTTCCTCGTCCAATCCAGACATCGGATCCGGAGACGGAGAAAAGAGTGGTGGTAGTGGGGGAAAGCAGCAGCAGCAGCAAACAAAGGATCTGGAAGCGGCGCTTGCGAAAGAGCTGTTGGCTTTGCAGGTTGGGATCTTGGGGAGGTTGAGGGGGAGGGCGGAGGGGATGAAGGGGGAGATGGAGAGGAAGGGGTGTTT